AAAACATTAAGTTAAAAAATCCTACTTGACAATTTGTCTTTTAAACATTAACATTTAATAAAATTTCTGAAATATTCTTAATGATAATTTATTCTATTTGTCTTATTGTTATATGTACCTTCTTTCCTTTCTTGCCTTCTTGTGGGTTTTTTTTAATCATTCCATTTTTTTCTATAATTTAAAAGTCACAAACTCTCTTTTCTTGAAGGAAACTCTAGATTACAACACGTATCTCTTACTTACCAAAATTTAATTTTTTTAAAGATTTTTAATTTATTTTTTATTTTTATTTATTTATTTGACAGAGATCACCTGAGCCACCTAGGTGTCCCCAAATTTAATTTTTTTTTTCAATTTATTTTTTAGGTTTATTTATTTACTTAAGTAAAGACTACACCTAACCTGGGGCTTGAACTTAGAACCCCAAGATCAATAGTCACATGCTCTTCCATCTGAGCTGGTGAGGAATGCCCCCTCCCCACCCAGCGTAATGTTAACAATTACTTTCCTCTTCTTTCCAGATAATGCAGCCCTCACATACTTTATTTATCCCACTGCCAATTATTATTGTCTTGTTTTAATTCTTTCTTTAAAACCTAATAAAACATTATTATTGTTGTGTTATACAATTTACAATCATTTGACCCACATATTTTCTACTATTTTTACTCTTTATTTCTTCTTGAATCTCTAAGCTTCCATTTGGTATATTCCTTCCTCCTGAATAATATTTTTTAAAATTTCACCTAGAGGGCACCTGGGTGGCTAAGTCAGTTAAGCGTCTGCCTTGGCACAGGTCATGATCCCAGGGTCCTGAGATCAAGCCCCACATCAGGCTCCCTGCTCAGTGGGGAGCCAGCATCTCCCTCTCCCTCTGCTCCCCCAACTTGTGTGCTCTGTCAAATAAATAAAAATTTTTAAAATAAAATAAAATTTCACTTAGTGTGGGTCTCTTGGTAATTCTCTAAGTAAATTTTTTATGGGAGGGGTATCTGAAAAATGCTTATTTTCTCTTCACTCTTGAAAGATAGTCCTGCTATGTATGAAACTCTAGGTTACCAATTTTATCTTCCAGTGCTTTGAATATGTTATTCCATTTTTCTTGCTTCTACTGTCAGTTTAATTGATCTCTTTTGAAAGTAATCTCTTTTTTTCTGGTTGCTTTAAGATTTTTTTTTTGTCATCTGAAGCACTTTTACTATGATGTACTCAGGATTTTTCTTCGTATTCATTCTGCATTGGTTTACAGGGCTTCTTCAATCTGTGGCTTAATGTCTTGTCAATTTTAGAAAATTTTTAACCATTATCTCCTCAGACAATTATTCTATCCCATTCTATCTGTGGGACTCCACACACACAGATGATAAGCCTACTCATTGTATCCTCTGTCTCTTAGTCCTTTTTTGGTATTTTATTTTTTCTTTTCATGATTTGTTCTAGATTGGTTTTTTTCTGACCTATTGTGTAGTTCATTTATTCTCTGTTTAGCATTACTGAATCTGTTAGTTCATCTTTCACAATTTAAAATTTTATTTTACTTTTCATTTCTAGCATTTTCTTTTGATGCTTTATCAACTCTGTTTTTATAATTCACAATTTTCTGCCAAACTTTTCAACCTAGTTTTTTATGTTCTCAAACACAGTAAGCATTGTTTTGTTTTGGTTTTTAGCATAGCTATTTTAAAGTTCAGTCTGATAAAACCAATGTCTGGAGAACCTGGCATCAGTTTTTATTTTTTGCTATTTCTGCTGGTTCTCATTCATGTTGTTGAATCTCATCTGCCTAGTTATTTTTGGTTGTGAGTCACATATTATATTTGAAAGACTATATGTAGTAATTTAAAGTCCTACATGATGTTCTCTTAATATAGAGAGGTTTCTTTTGCTAAGTGCCCAGGGCTACTTTATTTAAATTTCATGGACTGAAATGATTTAAAGGTAGGTTATAGTGCCTTTTAGGGCTATTTTATTTCCAGTTTACCCTTACTCTTACATAGATGAAATCTTCTGTGGTCCCCAACCAAGAAGCAGAAACTTACCAGCCCTCACATCAGCCTTGGCAAACCCTGAGCCCTAACTTTTTAAGTAGGCTCCATGCCCAGGATGGAGCCCAACACATGCCTTGAACTCACAACCCCGAGATCAAGACCTGAGCTGAGATCCAGAGTTGGATGCCCAACTGAGCCATCCAGGAACCCCAAGCCCTAACTTTTTAGCTTCTATCAAGAGGGCTGCTTAGCCTCTTAGTCCCTTATTTTGAAATTCATGAATATCTCTAGGAGAGAAATAGTCGCAAATTTTGGGTTTACCTCTCTAGATTTTTTTCCAGATCTCAACTTGGTAATTATTTTGTTAGCTTTCTGAATGCCTCTAAACCAAATTTTAGAATATTGTGTCTAGCCTTTACAGTTAAGTCAGGGTTGATCCAAACTATCTAGTGCGGCATTACTAAAGTGGAAATCCTTAGTTTATATCACTGAAACCAAAATTGTATTGTGGTTTTAGTGTAGTTTCAGAATGGAATGGAATTAGAAGTATGTTCAATTCACCATCATAACCTAAAAAGTTATTCTTCATTTCCTTTCAGAAAAGAAAATTAAAAAACATGTATCAGCTGTTATCTACACATCCTGTAAAAAATGGGAATGAAAGGATTCTATTTGTTTACTTTTGTACTTAACAGAGTATCTAGTACATTTTCCACATTAGCACTGAAAGCTCTACTCCATTCTTTTTTAAGAGTTGCACGAAATATCACTCAATCTAACTCAACAAATATTTACTTATCATGCTTACTCTACTATAATTAGCTTTAGGGCTATTTTGGTAAGCAAAAAACAATGTGTCCTAGCACCTGGGGAGTCTACAGTTGAGTGGAAGTAAAATATATTACTCTTATAATAATACAAATAAATGCAAAATTACAATTCTATCAAACGCTAAGGAGAGGTACACGATGATATGAGATAGCATGATAGGGGTATTGGATCTAGTCAGGTAGGTCAGAAATGTTACATGAGGATGTTACAATAAGCTGAATGAAAGCTAACCAGAAGAGAAAGGGGGAAAGGAGGCTTGCATAAGGAAAATAATATTCTATGTAGAGAATCTGTCATATGGATATGTCATAATTGATTTACCCACCTCTCTGCTGAGGGACGTTTAGACTGTTTTGAATCTGTTGACATTATGACAATACTTTAATATATATTCCTATATACAATTTTTGGCATAATTTTGTAAGCATATCTTTATGGTAATTAAGAATCCTTTTTTAGTATATACATTAAGAGTTGACAATAAATTCCATATCTATCTAGATTTGAATATAAATTCTACTAGATCTATTTCTTACATATTCCATCTTTCCCTAACTTAAATTCTTTATTTTGTTTGAATTTTCTCTTGTCTGCATTATTTCCTCAAGAAGAACTGGTTCAGGGGTGCCTGGGTGGCTCAGTGGGTTAAAGCCTCTGCCTTCAGCTCAGGTCATGATCCCAGGGTCCTGGGATCGAGCCCCGCGTCGGGCTCTCTGCTCAGCGGGGAGCCTGTTTCCTCCTCTCTCTCTGCCTGCCTCTCTGTCTACTCATGATCTCTGTCTGTCAAATAAATAAATAAAATCTTAAAAAAAAAAAAAAGAAGAAGAAGAACTGGTTCATTATAGTGATCTCCTATCTCATACATAAAGATACTAAAGTAAGATATGTATGTAAAGTTATGCTCCACCTGCTCTTCACCTTCAATGCAGAATCTAAAACAACTATGTTCAGGACCCCCTTCTATCTGCCCAAAGTGAGCTAGGCTTTTTCCACTATGTAGATGGTTTATCCTAACAGTTGAGTGAATCGCTTTAGCACAGAGCTTGGAAAACGAGACAGCCAGAGGTTTGAACTCAGGTGCCACCATCTTTCCAGAATCTTCTGCATTCTTAGTTAAGTTAGGACCTACCTTTAAAATCAAACTGCCCACAACACACTTGGGAAAAAATATTTGTCTACATATATAACAAAATGTTACTATATAAAGATCCCTCACAGGCTATAAGAAGAAAAGCAAAAAATAAAAAGGTATGAAAAGGCAAAAGATATGAATTGACAATTCACAAAAGAAAAATACATGTGGTCAATAATAAAAAAAATGTTCATTAGTCATCATAAAAGTACAAATTAAAATTTTAAAAATACTAGACTATAAAAATGATAATAAACAGTATTGGAGAGTGCACTGTGAACTATACACCACACATACAAAATGGAAATCTAGTACAGCCTTTCTAGAGCTTATCTGTATCTGATTTAAAATTGTAAGTATTAAATGACACAGATATTCAATTTCTAGAAATTTATCCTATGAAAATTATCAAGAAAATGTTATTCTCAAATTCCTAATACTGCTTTCCTTTCTTTCATACCATATATCAACATCTGACTTGCATTTATTGTTTGTCTTCCCTCCCCTAGAATGTAAGCTGATTGCATGCAAGGTTCTAAATAGTACTTGCCATATATTAGGCATGTCATACATACTGGTTGTTGACAGAATGTGTAAAGATTTATCTATAAGGATTTTTAAATCTGTAGGGTTTTAAAACAAAAAATTTGGGAAAAATCCAAAATCCAACAGCAGGGATTGAGTAAAACAAAAATTATCAATAAAGACAACTAGATAACTGTTAAAAATTAGTCTACTAAAAAACTATAAATGCTTATGATACTAATACATGATTTCACTTTTGTTAAAAAGGAAAAAGAGGGGAAAATATATGCAAAGATACAAGACAGGTAATAATACTAGATCAAGATGTGAACAGTTGGTATCTATGAGGTGGTAGGATTATAGCTAACTTTTTGTTCTTATTTATGGTTTCTTGTATTTTTCAAATTTTATTTTTCTGTGATGAACACAATTCTTTTTTAATAAGACAAAGAAAATTATTCAAAACAAACTAAAACCAAAACCAATACTTCATTTCTAGTTCAAACGAGAAAAGGCAAGTTTACCTTCAATTTCATCATCAGAAATCAATTCATCATCAGAGCATATGTTGAGAATGTTAACCAGCATCTCTGTGACTATATGATAAGACAAAATAACCCAAAATGTATACAATTAATAAGGCATTTGCATTTTCTCTAAAATGATAAGAATGTCTAAATAAACACACATGTTAAATAAATATAGACAAAAATGATTTGTCATTATGCTATTAAGAGTGATTACAAAGAGTAGCATTAAATCTAGACCTTCAGGTTTATATAGAATTTGGGGAAATTACTCACTTCAGTATAAGTCTGGTCTTTGAAGATTCTATTGTATAATTACTTGATTTCATGAGACTGCTGTCCAGAGCCTTTTCCTCACTGATAGGTACATGAAAAGATTTTCTCCCATTCTACAAGGAAGTTAAGCCACCAGGTCTATGCCCAACAGATTTATTTTATATTTGCATAGCTTATTTATATAGGTGCACAAATAAAATTCTACAGGACACTATTTCCTATTTAAATCTCTTTATCACTGAAGAAATCACTGAAGGAATGCTATAGTGACTTATGTTATTTTAACATCCTGATCATAGTAGGATAGCTACTTTAATATTTACAACAAGAAGACCACAATTAACTAGAACTATAATTTAAAAACCAAGTTAAGGGGCGCCTGGGTGGCTCAGTGGGTTAAGCCGCTGCCTTCGGCTCAGGACATGATCCCAGGTCCTGGGTTCAAGCCCCACATCGGGCTTTCTGCTCAGCAGGGAGCCTGCTTCCTCCTCTCTCTCTGCCTGCCTCTCTGCCTACTTGTGATTTCTCTCTGTCAAATAAATAAATAAAATCTTAAAAAAAAAAAAACCAAGTTAAAAAATTAAATAAATAAAATAAAAAACCAATTAAGTGCCATTTAAAAATCTTTGTACTCTCTGAGTACACTGAGAAGTGCCCGATGATGCTGATGTACTTACAGACACAAAAACAATCTTTGTTATTATTGTATAAAGCCATCAAAGCACACACACACACACAAAAATCTTTGTAGAGAACAAAGACTTTAGAAAATACTTCTGATAACTTTATTATTTGTTTATTTATTTTGCTTCTGTAAGTTTAAGAAAAACATTTCTGAACCATCAGGAAGCTCATGCAAATATAAAAGTGTGCTCCATCACTAATTAAGACAACTGATCATCCAGTTCTCTTACCTTTTTCCCCAACAAATGGCAAAGACCATGTGAAAACATCCATAAAGTTTGGAAGCCAATAGGGGTGTGGAGAACAGTTAAACTGCCTGATATTCATGACATTGTTTTCATATTTTAGCACAGCAGCTAAAAAGGAAAAAGCAGGAAAATCTGGTACAGAGGAACATGACATGGCAAATGGTATGCTTTGTATAGCTGTGCACCTACTGAACAGAATTCATAAACTTACTTTTTTCCATTTGTAAGTTCAGGACTCGTTATCTAAGAGCAGATGGAAAATCTTAGAGCATTTTATACAGTTCATTCTTTTAAGAATTATCCCAAGGAACAAAGTTACCTAAAGATCTCATATAATAAAAGTACAAAAGAAACTAAGCTCTGAAACTTCAAAGGGTCACTACACAGTAACCATCCATAGAAATCTCACATTCCACATTAGAAAAATTTTGTCATAATTTCCTTTTATAGGCCAAATGGTTACAATTACAGCTCTCTTTTGAAGGCAAACATTTTTCACTAAGCAAACACAGCCTGTTTTGCTAGTCATTATCCAGAGCCAAAGATTTTATAAACTCTCTGGGAGTTTATAACATAGCAATTATCAATTCATAGTTGGGGATACAGATGGCAAACTTGGAGCAATTTTTATGGCTCAAAAGTAGATTGTATCATCTCTGCATATTACACAGAGGATTAAAAAATATCCATTTCTCCTATACAGAGTCAGTATACTGCTAACACCATATAAATGTTGAACTTAACCAGTTACCATGAGCATAAGCACTCATCATCATGAGCAGGGGCCTGCAAAGCTGTTTGCACTATTGTCTTTAGTCTTACTGTGATGATAAATAGAATCAGCTATGAAGCACTTTAGAAATGACAGATATAGGTCATTTCCTGGTTCCTGTTTCTCTGTTTATTAAAGGATAGCCTCATGTGCTCAAAATTTAAGTTACTGAGCGTCTAAAATGTGTACCATGGGGATTGTAAATACATGAAAGGAGAATCTCCTACTCTTAAAAACCTAACACTGGATATAATATACATGTCCCATTATTTTCATGTACATATTTTTTTATTTAGGTTAGATGAATACATAATTATTCAATAATTCCCTCAATATACACAGGAAAAAGAAGTGAGAGGTGGGTCTTCACAGTGGATTATTAGAAATGAGAGCATAACAAATTGCTTTTGGGTATGTTCTCAGTGGACACAAAAATAGGAAAAGAAATCTTTAAAAATCATGACTTAAGGATCTTTCACATAATCACTGGAACTAAGAAATACTTGGTAACAATATGCAAGAAAGAAAAGCAACAGAAGAAGAAAGAGAAAAAGGAAAGGGGGAGAAGGTTGTCATTTTCAAGAAAGAGGTACTTGGATGGGGAATAACTGAGTACCAGGAGACACTCTTTCATATACCACTCTCTTTCCTAAAAAAAAAAAAAAAAAGTCTGAGGAACAACCAAGGAAAATAAGAATGTTTCAAGATAAAGTTACCAATTGTGTCAAAGTCAACAGAAAACTCTGGTAGATGGGACTGTGACTTGAAAGTTCACTAAAGGAATAATCAGTATCCAAACCAGGTTAGAGTGGGGCAGAAAACAAGCTGGCACTTAGTGAGTGAGTGAAGTGACTGCTGTGTTGGTGGCGGGTTTCAGCCGAGCACACTGATAAATCCACTGCGCAGGCAACACTCTTCCTAGTGAGTTTGCTCTTCATCCCAAATATGAGGACTAGGGCCAGGAAGTGTCCTTGAAGAAGTTGCCAATACAAGCAGCACATACCATTTATCACAAAAGAAATAAGAAAACTAAGTCTCTAACATATTGGGAAAATTAGGAAGAAGAAAATAAGAAATGGAGTTAGGGAGAAGCAGAGTGTCGTGGGATAGCTAAGACTCAGAAAAGAATGACGAAATGTAAAAAACTAGATGGCTGGGAGAGAACTGAAGTAAAAAAATTGTTTTTTAAAAAGGATAGTAAGCCACTGAGATGACTGATTCAAATCAGACTGAAGTGAGATGTGCCACTCCTTGGTGTCCCTTTAAACAGGCTACATTAATAAGTATACTATGGACCTCTTTTAAACTCAACTCCCCAGCTGCATTTACAAGGTATGACTATAAAGTAATGAGACTTAAAAACCACCAACTACAAACACACCAGACGTTATATATGAGATGAGTGTGGTCCTCTGATATAATCACACTAGGCACAATAACAGTAAAATGTTACAATATCATAGCAACTTCAAGTTTGACAGACACTTTTAATGTTTATTTTTAGCATTCCAACTTATCTTCAACAACCTTCTATGACAGGTATTTTAAAGATACACTGAGGCTCAGAGAAGTTAATTAAGTGTCATGTTAGCTGTGAATTTAAAAGTGAAGCAGGACTAGACTAAAATTTTTTTACTCCTAGCTTAGTGCTCTTTTAAATAACCTTGCTGCCTTACCGTATATTTAATCCAAAGATACTGCCACTACTCAAAACATTTTTGGAACTCCTCTTTTGGAATCGCCTCCAGACCCATTTTATAAGCAACACAAGAAAAACCAGTCTCATTACCCTATAATCATACCTTGTTTCGGACCCCAAACGGTATCATCTAGCTTGATCACTCACCTTATTCACCAGTCTTGACTCCAAATGACTTTTGGCTGTTCCAAAAATCAAATCCACCCTCAAAGGACGAAGATTTCCCATCACTGAGGATAATCAAAAGAATGTGTCGCAGACTCTGAAGGCAATGCCAAAAGAGGAGTTCCGAAAACACTTTGAACAATGGCAGCATTGTTGGAATAAGCATATAGCTTCCCAAGGTAACTACTGTGAAGGGACAATACTCACTTGGATATATACGTTCTGGCATGTTTGTACAGAAGTTCTATTATTTTATAGTCATACTTTATAAACAACAAAATAGTTACAGAGGATATTACAGAGGAAGTTTGCACTGATACAAAACTTAGAAACTATGAATCATAAAAAATTTAAAAAAAAAAAAAAATTTGGGGGGTACCCAGCTGGCTTAGTCACTAGAGTGCAGCTCTTGATCTCAGGGTCATAAGTTCAAGCCCCATATTGGGCATATATAAAAATAAAAATTTCAATAGGATAAGGTCTTAGAATTTCTGGATTGAAGGCATGTTTATATTTAATCCTCTCTGTTTAAACCTCTCTGAGGTTTAGAAAAATAATGTGACTTACCTAAAGTCACACTATTAGTTTCTGGCAGGGCTTGGACTAAAATGATTTTTCTGACTTTTTGTACAGTATTCATCTACTCGTACCATTCCTCAAGAAAAGCAAAAACAGCTTAATAATTTACAAACAGTAAAACTCCAAATAGTGATACTTTATTAAGGTACTGTTATAAATAAATTCACCAAAGGTAATAATTTATGATGACTATCTAACTTGAACCTGAAATAATTTCTTCTTATGTATTTTTTAAAAGATTTATTTATTTATTTTGGGGGAGGGTTGGGGGAGGAGCAGAGGGAGAAAATCTTAAAACAGTCCCCACTGAGCACAGAGCCTGACTTAGGGCTCAGTCCCATGACCCATGAAATCATGACCTGAGCTGAAACCAAGTGCCAGAGGCTCAACTGACTGAGCCACCCAGGTGCCCCTGTTCTTTTTATATTCTGATTTAGGAGTACACATCAGACCTATTATGAACCTTATTTATATTTACAAAGAGCCTAATAATCCTTAGGAGATGAAAACCAAGCAGTAGCCTAAATTCTAAGTTTCTTGGCCTTTGTCTCAATTAAGACCTCTTATATATACACATACATATGATTATATTAGAGCTCAGAATTACTCACAAATTCAAATTCAAATATCACTGGGCTCCTTTACCTTTATTATTATAGACATCTAGGTAATTGGGGGCAGAGAAAATTGTAATGAGTGACGGAAAGCCTGTTGTTTGGCTCTTCCTGTACATTCGATACCTGGAAGAAAGATAACAGTCTGTCTGTCTTGGTATAAAAGGCAAAAACTCTGCAGTGATAATTGGTACAGTTTTAATATAACTTACCCAGCATCCTGGGCTTCGTGGGCTCTGATTATTGATAACAAATTATTGTTCTGCAAAAATTCACAAACTGCAGGGTAGCTGAAAAAGAAAATTAGAAAACATAAACCCAGAACTAAAACAACTGGTTTTAATTTTTTAAAGATTTTATTTATTTATTTGACACAGAGATACATAGTGAGAGAGGGAACGCAAGCAGGGGGGAGTGGGAGAAGGAGAAGCAGGCTTCCCACCGTGCAGGGAGCCTGATGCGGGGCTCAATCCCAGAACCATGGAATCATGACCTGAGCTGAAGGCAGACGCCCAATGACTGAGTCACCCAGGCATCCCTAAAACAACTGGTTTTTAATAGGAGGAAGGGGAAAAGTAAAGATCCTATTAGTTGAATTTATTTCCAGATTATAGGTTTGACATACCACTGAACTTTTATTAATGGCTTAGCAATAATCACTTTCCATTTCACTAATATACCTCATTCCAGATCAAATATGCAGATTAACAGACCTTAGGACAGGAAAAGAGCTCCCCTACCTTTTAATCTTTTTGTCTTAACCCTTAACATAACAACACCAAAACTTTTCTTGTCTTGATATAAAAAAAAAAGTACCCAGGGTAGTGTGTACATGTATGAGACAGTGAGAGAGAAAGAGAGATTAGGGGCTAAAAACTGAACACACAATTATCAGATTATCAAATTGTTAGAAAAGCCAAAGAATCTACTTATAGCTTCGCAGGTAATATCAATGCCAAGTTGATATTATGCAAGAATATTTCATGAGTAAATGCAAATATTACACCCAACTGTATTCTGATGAAAATACTAACCATCATCTGAGGTTTCAGTGGTCGTAATCACAGAACACAAATCACCGTAATAAATATAATGAAAACATTTGTAATACTGGGAGAATTACCAAAATGTGACACAGGGACAGGAAGTGAGCAAATACTGTTGGAAAAATAATACCCAAGAGACTTGTTCAACAGAGGATTGCTGCAAACCTTCAATTTGTAAAAAACTCCGTATCTATGAAGCGCGATACAGCTAACTGCAATAAAATATGGTATGCCTATATTTTATATCCACATATAAAGGTTTTGTTTTTTAATTAAAAAAATAGGGGGCGCCTGGGTGGCTCAGTGGGTTAAGCCGCTGCCTTCGGCTCAGGTCATGATCTCAGAGTCCTGGAATCGAGCCCCGCATCAGGCTCTCTGCTCAGCAGGGAGCCTGCTTCTTCCTCTCTCTCTGTCTGCCTCTCTGCCTGCTTGTGATCTCTCTCTGTCAGATAAATAAATAAAATCTTTAAAAAAAAAAAATAGTCTGACATATTCCATTACCTGAATATACCACAAGGTATTTAACTAGTCTTCTACTGAACTATTGAACTATATACAATAAAACTAACTAGTCTTCTATTGAACTATATACAATAAAATATGGTATGCCTGTATTTTATATCCACATATAAAGTTTTTTTTTTAATTAAAAAATAGTCTGACTTATTCCATTACCTGAATATACCACAAGGTATTTAACTAACGAGTCTTCTATTGAACATTCAGGTTGTTTTAAATCTTTTATCATAAGGGTACCTGAGTGGTTCAGTTGGTTAAGTATCTCACTCTAAATCTTAGGGTCTCAGGGTTGTGAGTTCATGCCCCACGTTAGGCTCCTTGCTGGGTGTGGAGCCTACTCAAAAAAATAAATTTATCATAAATAATACAGCAGTAAATAACCTTGTACCATTGACCCTTAGACAATGTGGGGAGTGCAGACTCCCCATGCAGTCAAAAATCTCTGTATAACCTTTTTCTTGGATGTAGAACTTTTTTTTTTGGATGGAGAACTTTTTAAAAGTAGGCTCCATGCTCAACATGGGGCCTGAACTCACGACCCTGAGATCAAGAGTCACATGCTCCACCGACTGAGCCAGCCAGGCACCCCTCATGTATGTAACTTCTGACTCTCCCAAAAGCTGGCCTGTTGAGTAGAAGCCTTACCCATAACATTCAATTGACACATACTTTGTATGTTTTATGTATCATACGCTGTATTCTTACATTAAAGTAAGCTAGAGAAAAGAAAATGTTAAGCAAGAAAAAATAAGCAAGAAAAATACATTTCTATACTGTATTACATTTATATAAAAAAAAAAACCTGTGCTTAAGTGGACCTGTGCAGTTCAAACACATGTTGTTTAAGGGTCAACTGTATATACATTTTATACATCTGCACATTTACATAGTTGATTCTTGTTATTTGCAGTAGCTATCTTGTAAATACTACATTAGTCAAACCTGAACCACTGCTCCTAGAGAAAATACACAGTTAGGGTCCTGTGAGCCTCTGGTCACATTTTCATTAACCAATCAATACATAACTTTGTTTTATGTGTGTTTCTGTGTAAGGACACCTTATTTAACATATACTGTTAATTAATTAACATGGAATTCATGGACAGCAGTGCCTTAAGTCATACCCGAATGAAGCTTATATAACATATATGTATTTTCTCTGTAAGACACATCACAGACTTCTTACATGTAGAAATACTCAGTAGCATTTAAGCACTATATTGGGGACCATTTTACATAGCAAAATTGCCAACAAAAAATATGAAAAATATTGCACTAAATGGACCACAAAAAGAATGGTGTAATAATAATCTTAAAGCATGAAAGCTGAAACAAGACAGCAAAGCAGCTCCTTTTTAACCTCAGTTAGGAACACACATGGGGTGACAAATTTTTCATCATTCTCAACATGTGCATGTCTGAATGACTGTGATTGTGCTGTGAGTGGTAACTTTGCAGTTACAAGAAATTTTTAGCAGGTAGGCAAATCTGAAGATTAGAAGCATCAATTGTATAGCCACAGGAATACACTTTAGAAGAACTTCTTGGGGCGCCTGGGTGGCTTAGTGGGTTAAAGCCTCTGCCTTCGGCTCAGGTCATGATCTCAGGGTCCTGGGATTGAGGCCCATATCAGGCTCTCTGCTCAGCAGGGAGCCTGCTTCCTCCTCTCTCTCTGCCTGCCTCTCTGTCTACTTGTGATCTCTGTCTGTCAAATAAATAAATAAAATCTTTAGGAAAAAAAAAAAAAGAAGAACTACTTCTGGATCAAAGGCCCTTGGCATTTATAATAGAGAGATGTTGTTAGGCTTGTCTCCAAAGTTTATGTTGTACAAACAATAAAAAAGTATTATGCTCTTAATTTTAAACAATGTAAAGAGAAGTTTTTTAGAGGTTTAGTCAGTTGAGCGTCTGACTCTTGGTTTTGGCTCAGGTCTGATATCAGGGTTGTGGGATCCAGCCCTGTGTCAGGCTCCATGCTCAGTGCAGAGTCTGCTTGAGAGCCTCCCTATGCTCCTCCCCCACCCCCAGCATGTGCATATACTCTCTCTCCCTCTCAAAATACATAAATAAAATCTTTTAAAAAAATTTTAGAAGGGAGTAAAATTTAAATGACTCAGAAAGTAATAAAACAAGGTTGCTTAGAAGAATGTTACAACTAGGGGTGCCTGAGTGGCTCAGTGGGTTAAAGCCTCTGCCTTCAGCTCAGGTCATGATCCCAGGGTCCTGGGATCGAGCCCCACATCGGGCTCTCTGCTCAGCGGGGAGCCTGCTTCCTCCTCTCTCTGCCTGCCTCTCTGCCTACTTGTGATCTCTGTCTGTCAAATAAATAAAATAAAAAATCTTAAAAAAAAAAAAAAGAATGTTACAACTATGACAATATTAAGGCTTTTCACTTATTTTATGTGTATTTCATTTAATACGTGTTTTATCTAGGCAATTAACAGAGACTTGAACTAAATGTATGCATTACTTGTCACACTAAAACACTGGCATTAAAAAAATTTAGACTTCAAACCTCTCTCTATCTCCCTATTTTTGAACAGCAGAACAAAATAAAAGCTCACATACAAGATTTAAGACAACAGCCAACTTCCAGGAAATGTCCTGGGCTTAGTTCACAATGTCCTGTTCTTTTTATATCTTTGCCTATAGCAGTGGTTCCAAATGCTAGAGAGCTTTTTTAAAAAAATAACAGGATTTTCCTGTCTCAGACTCACTGAATCAGAATCTCTGGGGGAAGAGCCAACAAATCTTTATTTTTAAAAAAAGCTCATAGATGATGTTTGGGAAGAAACAATCAAGGTTGTTTTGAGTCAGAAAATAACATTTAAGCACTGTAAGATGTTCTGTTCAATCATGTTCAGTATGTTACATTTAGGTCCTAATGAAGGTACTCATATATGAGGGTACATAATACCTACTAAAATGTAAAAAAATAAACAAGGATTTTCTGCCTTCTAGTCATCAAAAAATAAAAAAGGCTTTATAGTACACAAATTAGGGATATAAAGTACTTATAAATAATTTGATGAAACATATTACAATTGCTCTTCCTAATTTTATAACTTCGAGGATTAGCTTACCTGTAAAAATAAGAGCACCCTCGGACAGTGTTGTGAGTATAGTGCTCCAAGGTCTTCTCATTGCCATAATCCTCTGAAGGATCAGACCAAAGCAGATCACACACTGGCCCAAAGGCTGGAGGTTCTTTAAACCTGTCTAACTAGAAAACACACAAAAGCCAAAAGAAGAAAAATCATGAAGGTAAAAGCGCTTTTGGAAACTGGTATGGGTCAAAAACAAAACAAAACAAAACAAAACCCTCCCACCCACAAGAACATGTTAGGAGAAAAAGTAGCAAGCCCCAGTAAAGAATTTTTCCTTTAGGAAGAAAATGAGCATTTAATAAATCTGGATACACAATTTTTATTATTTTTTTGAAATAAACTTGTATAACTATCCCTGTCATCTAGCAATACTGTAGAAAAGGACTCCTTTACATCCTAGTCTTAAAAGCAGTACCCACCTAATTCAAATGTGAAATCAACCACTATGGAGAGACACTATTATTAAGAAAGACTACATAACGGTTCATTTCAACTGCCTAGGTGAGCTAACATTACCATCAGAGCAAGAAAGGTTTTACAATTGTTCTGTTCATTGTTTACTTCATTTCAATGGAGATTTCTAGTTTTATTTTGTGAAGGACTTTCATCCTTTCCATTCTATGCAGTGCAGGCATTTCAATGTAAGTTATTAATTTAAGACTTGAGTCACTGCTGCTTTGGTTGTTAGTAGCATAAACACCAAGACAAAACCAGTAACTAAAATAGCTGAGGACTTCTACTAAATGAAAGGGGAAGTTTTTAATACAATTGATTCAGAATTGCAAAATTCAAGACTTATACTGTAAAAGAGAAATTCTGGTTATTTAAAGACCCTAAGGCAGCAGAAATATAGGCATATCTTCTTATCCTGAGGAGAGTAAACTTTAATTCAGAGAAAAGTCTTATAAACAGAAAAATCTTTAATTTCAGTACCTACATGAGACAGGCAGAAAAATACAAAGGTAGAGAAAAGATACAATGTAAAACAAGAAAAGTGAAAAAAGGATGGATCATCCTTATAGAAAATCCCAAAATTAATAACAACCAATTCACACAGTGTAGAAATTAAATTCTATCATCTAAAATGTCAACGTTAATGAAATTTCAGAGCTGGAAGTCCTCAGACCATCTATTCTGATTTTTTCATTTCTCAGAGAAGAAAATGTGACTTAGAGTTAAGTTGTTTGGTCAAGGTTACACAATTAACTGCAGGACAGGGATTAGAACCCTGATTTCCTTCCTTTCGTATTGCTACAAAATTTAAAGTTTCAGAGCTATACTCAAAATAGGTTATGTTTCCAGTGGGTGAAAAAACAGATTTCATTAAAATTTACATATATTTTCTGGAAGATATTTAGCAAAATGTTAACAGTGGTTGTCTGCCAATAAGGAGATCACAGGTGATTTCCATTTTCTTACTTTTGATTATCTGTATTTAAAAATTTTCAGCAATAGAGGCATATTAGGTGACTACAGTAAAAAATAAAACTAAAAATATATATACTTCATGAGACTAATGAAAGATTACTTACTTTCTTAATGTCATCTAAACTAGTAATTTCAGGTGACATCCCTCCATGTACACACAGAAACTGCTGGTTTAAGAGGGCAGCAAGAGGAAGACAGTCAAATGTCTCCATACAAGCATCATACACCTGTTCGGAATATTTGATTCGACCTATCAAAAAAAGAAAAACAGTCAAAGGAAGAAAAGCTAAAATTTATCATATGTGAAAAAGGATACTGGACAGAAAATTATGAAGCTACTTCAAAGCGAATTATTTCAGGCCAATTTGAAAACAATCATCTTTATAAAAATATTCTTGAAAAGTTGTAGATAAAAGGTAAAGAAAATCTTCTCTAAAGACAAGTGTGACCTTGGATTAACTTTCCAGCTCTGTTGCCTTGGAAACCTGATAAGGTGAATGTCAGCTGTGTTATAAGGCAACATGGCTTATGGTAAAAATTACTCAATTACCTGGTAGGTAGCTACATCTTTGGACTTCTGAGTGGGATGACTCAAGGTAGGTCCCTGTGGGACCCTGGAATCTAAACCAATAAAGCTCTTATGGGCAATATCAGGAATCGTGCTACATGAGGCTTCTAAGCCACAGGGACTCCCTGATCTACCCAATGTGGATATTGTTTCCCTGCACCTGAACTGTGACTTGGACGGGGAGGCAAAAGGCAGAAAATTTTTGGACTGCTATATCCACTCCTATGAGGACTACTCCACTGAAAAGGGATGCCCAGATCCCCATTCCTGGACTGTATCCTTCTAAGTAGATAAATGCCAATATGGCCCACAGAAGTCTTGTAAGCCTGAAAATTTGGGGGGAACTAAAAAGACTCCCTGTGGGTACTGAAGATATAAAACTGGAAACTGAAGTTTTAAGAGTAATCAATAAAATGTCAGTAATCTTTTGCTATGATTTTTAAGATCTTTAAGAACATTTTGTCCCAATTCTATTTTATGTAAAAAAATTCATCTTTGGGGTGCCTAGGTGGTTCAACTGGTTAAACATTTGCCTTTGGCTCAGGCCATGAGATCAAGTCCCTCATCGGGCTCCCTCTCCATCTCTTTCAAGTAAATAAAAAAAAATAAATAAAAATAAATGTTCATCTTTATGAACTGTATTTTGGAGTTAAAGAACAAGGAAACACTCCAGTGGGCCAAGGGTGGGTTCTCCACAATTACCCAGAAAGAATCTGTCATGAAGTAAGAGGTGGAAAGCTACGAGATGGTTTTAGTTTAAAGAGAAAGGGAATATTTTCTTCTTCCTTGGCCTTGGATTTCAGAAAGTCAAGCATGGAGGTGCCTATTGGTAAAGAAGGCAAGAGGCTGTATAGACAGGCAGCCTTATAGAAATGTGAGCTCCTTCTCTTCCAAAATTCTGTGAAGATGAGACAAGCCTACAGGAACTAGAGAACAATGCTTTAACAAGTGAGTCAGATTATCTAGCTGATCATTATTTCTGTGTTTACTTACTTGTAATTTCCAAGCTTTTAGAAAAGATGTGTTTAAGGATCAGAGCCTGGTCTTAGCAAGGCTTTAGAGAATAAAGTGAAGGGTAATGGTCCAGATTTGGGCCAGAGTACAAACATGGATGGCAGAAATGTCTGGAGAGACATTTTTAAAGGGGAGATATAAATGAAAGGACCATATTTGAAGTTAAAAGACCTTCCATTCCTGAATGTGAGGATCTTCTCCTTATTGCCAAGGTTTGAGAGTGTTAAGGGAGTTTGTGGGTTCCTTTAAAAACTTTCAGAGCAGGGGCGCCTGGGTGGCTCAGTGGGTTAAGCCGCTGCCTTCGGCTCAGGTCATGATCTCAGGGTCCTGGGATCGAGCCCCGCATCAGGCTCTCTGCTCGGCAAGGAGCCTGCTTCCTCCTCTCTCTCTGCCTGCCTCTCTGCCTGCTTGTGATCTCTGTCTGTCAAATAAATAAATTAAAAAAAAATTATTAAAAAAAAAAAAAAAACTTTCAGAGCATTTTATATTACCATGACCACAAGTAAGATCATCTTATTTCACAACATACGCTAACTCTAATAGGACAACCAAGTTAATAAGAGCCATGCCTTATGAATCTTTGCATCTCCTTAAAATTACATCCTTATATTCTGCTTTTTATCTGAATGCTATAAATTTTGACTATTGCAAAAGTAGATCCATACTGGCCACAAAGTTTATATGAGGAAAAAAGTTAAAACAAAACAAAACAAAAAAACTAACTCCTTTTGTCTGTGGCCAGTGATTAAAAAACCCTTGGAGCCAGAGTTCCCTCTGTTGCCAATGTCAATAAAAAATTCCTCTGTAATGGGACGCCTGGGTGGCTCAGTTGGTTAAGCAGCTGCCTTCGGCTCAGGTCATGATCCCAGTGTCCTGGGATCGAGTCCCACATCGGGCTCCTTGCTCATCAGGGAGCCTGCTTCTCCCTCTGCCTCTGCCTGCCATTCTGTCTGCCTGTGCTTGCTCTCTCTCCCTCTCTCTCTCTCTGACAAATAAATAAATAAAATCTTTAAAAAAAAAAAATTCCTCTGTAAGAGTCTTAAGCTTGGATATAGGCAGGAGTTCTGTGTTTTGTTTTGTTTTTAATTCAAGTATAATTGACATGCAATGTCATATTAGTTTCAGTACAACATAGTAATTCAATTCTATATATTATGTAATGCTCACCATGATAAGTGTAGTTACCATCCTTATCATATAGTTATTACAATATTATTGACTATATATCCTATGTCATACTTTTCATTCTTGTGACTTATTTATTCTCTAACTGGAAGTTTGTGCCTCTTAATCACCTTAACCCATTTAGTCCATTATCCCACCGGTTTCCCCTCTGGAAACCATATTTTTTCTACATATTTACGAGTCTGTTTCTGCTTTTGTTTTGTTTTTCAGATTCCACATCTAAGCGAAATCATAAGGTATTCGTCTTTCCCTGTCTGACTTATCTCACTTAATATAATACCCCCTGGGTTATTCCATGTTATCACAAAGAACAAAAGTTTTCATTCATTTTATGGCTGAGTAGCACTGTCGTGTGTGGGGGTGCCTAGGCGGCTCAGCCAGTTAAGTGGCTGACTCTTGATTTCGGCTTAGTTCCCGATCCCAGTTTCCTGGTGTCCCAGAATGGAGCCCTGCATCACGCTCCCTGCTTGGCCGGGTGGTCTGCTTCTCCCTCCGCCCCTCCCCCTGCTCCTGCTTTCTCTCTCTCTCTCTCTCTCAAATAAATAAATAAAATCGTTTTTTAAAAAATAAAAAAATATTACTCTGTGTGTGTATGTGTATATATATATACACATCGCATCTTTATCTTTTTTCCTATCAAAGGATACTATGTTGCTTTCATATCTTGGCTACTGTAATTACTGTTACAATAAACATAAGGGTGCATATATCTTTCAAATTACTGTTTTCATTTTCTTTGGTTAAATCCCTAAGTGATGGAATTATACGGTACTTCTATTTTTTTTTCCTATTTTTAATTTTGTAAGGAAACTCCATACTGTTTTCCATAATGGCTGCACCAACTTACATCCTTCTCCCCATCTTTGTTATTTCTTGTCTTTTTGATACTAGCCATTCTGACTAGTATGAGTTGATAGCTCATTGTGGTTTTGATATGCATTTCCCTGATGATTAGTGATATTGAATAACTTTTCATATGTCTGCTGGTCATCTGGATGTCTTCTTTGGAGAAAGGTCTACAAATGACTCAAAAGAATTCCTTAGCCTACTACCAAAAGGATACCAAGTCTGGAGAAAGATGGCAAGTGTCAACCCCATTTTGTACATTAAAACAGGAGGTTACACAGAAAACAAGTGTTGGCAAGAATGTGCAGAAAAAAATGGAACCCTTGTGCACTGCTGGTAGGAATGCAAACTGGTGCAGCTACTGTGGAAAACAGTATGGAGGTTCCTCAAGAAATTAGAAGTAGAACTACCCTATAGTCAAGTAATCACACTACTGCTTATTTACCCAAAGAATACAAAAACACTAATGCAAAAGGATATCTGCACCCCTATGTTTACTGCAGCATTATTTACAATAGACAAATTATGGAAACAGCTCATATGTCCATTGCTACATGAATGGATAAAGAAAATGTTATAAGTATAGGTACAATGGAATATTTATTATTTAACCACAAAAATAAAGAAATCTTGCTGTTTGCAATGAAATGGATGGAGCTAGAATATAATGCTGAATGAAGTCAGCCAGAGAAAGAAAAATACCATATGATTTCACTCATGGGGAATTTAAGAAACAAAACAAAACAAAACAAAACAAAAAAACAAAAAAAAGAGAGAGAGAGAGAGGGGAGCCAAGTGGCTCAACTGGTTAAGCTTCAGCTCAGGTCATGATCCCAGGGTTCTGGAATCGAGCCCCATGTTGGGCTCTCTGCTCAGTGAAAAGCCTGTTTCTCCTTCTCCCACTGTTCCTCCCTGCCCACCCCGCAACCCCTGCCTGTGCTCGCTCTTTCTCTCAACCTCAAATAAAATTTTTTTTAAAAAAGAGATAGAGAGAGAGAGAAAAACCAAGAAACAGACTCTTAACTATAGAGACCAAACTACTGGTTACCAGAGGAGAGGTGAGTGGGGAGATGGGATTAAGAATACACTTAACATTATGAGCACTGAGTATAGAATTGTTGAACCACTATATTGTATATCTGAAACTAATATAATACTAATTGTTAACCGTACTGGAATTAAAATTTAAAAATTCATATTTTTTAAAACCAGGAGATTATGAATCAAATTAAGCCAAAAGAAGTTAATATTATATTAACATGTGACCAAAATAGTTTACAAAATGTTATTTTCTTAAAGTATATGATTAGGTATATAAATACCAATATATTTATTTTCTGAGGGGTTAGACTGAAGATATTTATATTCTTGTTTATAGTTTATCTATGTTTTCTCTGATGAATTATATGAATTTGTATAGTAATATTTATTATTATATTACCTTTATTATTGAAATTTGTTGAAGGCTCACAATGTATCTGTGCCTCAGTGAGTTACGTGTTCCCCACAGCATGGTGGTCAAGAGAATGGAGTCTGGAACCTGACTGCCCAGATCTGAAGCTTGGCTTACTAGCTGTGATACTCAGCACAAATTACTTAGTTCCCTGTGCTTTGATTTCCTCATCTATAAAATGGGC